TACAGGCATATGCCACTGTGCTTGACTTCCGTCTCCTTCTTTTTAAGCAGATACAACATAGAACTTTTAGATAAATACAGCAAGTTCTGTCTTGATTCCTCAGGTTTTGCCCAAATAAAATCTCTTAAATCTAGACAACAATGACTCCTGGAATTTTTATGCCCATGTTGATGATCTCTTTGGCATTCTTTCAGGTCCTCTTGGTGACACATCTATATACACACAAATCTTTCCTCTGTTATATCTCTATGGCTGTCCCACATGCATAAAACACTTCCACTCATCTTGAAAACAGTGTTCCCTGAAAATTACTTCTGAGGTAACTGGATTTAAGGATAAAGATGCATATTTTCTTACTGTCATGTGTAACTAATTAAAACAAAATTTTAAAAATGCATATTTTCTTTAAATAATTAGTACAGATTTAAGGAGGGATAGATGACTGCTTTCCACTCCAATTCCACGGCCTTTCACATCTTTTCACCACCTCCACCATACCCCAAGGCACTTCCATACATTGAGGAACTGGCCTGTGTTTCAGGATGGGGTGGGTGCCAGAGCTGTAGATGAGATTAACATCTGTATATTCCTGTCTTTATATAAAACAACATCATGACTAGTCCAAATCCTGTTAGTTGATATGTGTATTTGAGAAACATGTTTTTTTTTTTTCTCTTTCTAATGTCAAATTCTTGAAATAGGTTTAGACCACACAGGCAGCTCTCAACTGACAAATAGATTAAGGTCCAACAAGTGACTTCATTCCTTGGTTTTTAGTCTTGCCACTAAAGCATTGTCTTCTGAGGTATTTGCCCCTGACTAGTATATTGAAATACTGTACGTTTACATTTAAAAAACAGTATGAAACAATGATGCCAAAGAGCAAACCAGAAAAGGAATGCATTTGAATAAAACTCTATATATTTATTTAAACTATATATTCATATAATTAATTAATTTAACCAAACAGTACATTTAATTAATTTATGAATATATCCATTAGTATATTGATAAATATGCATAAATTAAAAATGTATTCATACCTTAAATATATATACATATATAATATTATTAATACACATATAATACATATATGATAATATATACACATAAAATAATATATTATTAATACACATATATATGTATATATATTTAAAAGTTGATCTTTTGAAAGATTTGGAGTTAATAGGTAACTGTAGGTTACTGAGACTGTTATACAGCTTCCAAAGAGGTTCTTTATTCCTTTCAGTATATTTTTATTCTGGAGATTTAAGAAACCCAGTTCTTTATTATGTCTGGTTTCACTTCAAAATATGCCTTTCATTTTCCTTGATACAGAAGAGCCATTATCCCTACACTTATGCTTGCCCAAGTATGTTTAGCATTTGTGTTATTGCTGTTAGTAGAATTGGGACCACAGGAGAAATTTTAAAAAAGAGAGAGAAATAGAGAGGAAGTAGAATTTCCAAAGGCAACTTATCAAAATGTAATAAAGACAAAAAAGCAATGTTTAAATGACTCTGATGAGTCCTGAAAAAGTTTTCATGTGAAGGGTGAGTTAAATAGATTTTGAGAGGAGAAAGGAACAGAGGGATGGTGGGGTTTGCCCGTGATTGTCTGGGGGCGCAAAGAGGCGGTGTGGAGAGGCAGCCTTAGGTGCTCTGTTCCAGCAGCCAATGTGTAACTGATAGGATGCACCACTGTTAATGGGGTTCAGAAAGCCAAGGGGCTCAAAAATGGAATCAGCTTCACCTTCTAGAATTAAACCCAAGACAACCCATTTTGATTAATGGCAGATAAACTTTTGCCAGACGTTTTCAAATGTTCTCTGCCCGATCCAGGGAATTTCTTTAAAAGTCAAGTTCAAGTATTATTTCTATTGCAGTTTTTTAAACAAATACTAACTGGAATTCTCTTTCTATTCTTTGCCCTGCTGCTTCTTCACACTCCCTGTAGCCCCTGCCTGATGGAAGGGGTTTTGTTTTTGTGATGGACCTTGAATGTGAGAGATAGAGTGGGTGTGCATGTGTGTGTGTGTGTGCACAAGCATGTTTTTGTATGTGGTACATGTGTTGGGTGGCCTGAAGGGCATGTTTTCTTCTACACTTATGTGTTTCTTGGCATGAGTGATGCAGAGAGATCATTAGTTAATCAATGCCTTATATGAGCAATATCAATGCCTTTTATAGAAGTAGAACCTATGAATTTTACCTGGACACATGAATAAAGACCACAATTGCAGGCAGCTATGGCAGAGGAGAAGAATACAACTTTCAGGTGGTATCCTTCTTTTTTCATATTTTTCTAGCTAGAATTCAAATATAACAGCAGACCATCTTAAACATGCGGATGAAATGATACCATAGGGATGGTGATTCTGAGACAGAAGTGTTCTTATACAGGTTCATGGAATGACACTACCATATCAGCCTTGGACTGCCTAACCTAGGCTTTTTCCTGGGAGGAAAAAAAATTAGATTTGCCTAGGGCATTATAAAATGGATATTTGTTAAAGTAGCTAAACTTATGTCCAAACTAGCACCTGGTGGAAGGAGGGGAGACTAATAAATGTAACTTGATGTTACATATACAAGAGAGTTGATCAGTAGGTACCAAACAAAGGTGTTGCATTAGGATGAATGAATGTATACCATAGATTGCCAGAAGCATCAATATTGTCTGTTAATGCTAAAGAAGTAGCTGAGCCTTTAAGTAATATATTAAAAGTACAATACTTCCATCTAATGCAATACCTGGAAATGTATTGGGAATAAAAATGATTGCTTGTCACTGTAATTCAATAACAATGGGTTCCCCAGAGGAAAGATTAAAACTCCATCCCAATACTTTAATTTTCTGTGGTACTAGGGGTTGAACCAAGGACACTTTACCACCAAACAACATCCCCAGCTCTTTTCACTTTCTATTTTGAGACAAGGTCTCTCTATGTTGCCCAGGCAGCCTCCAATTTGCAATCTTCGAGCCTCAGCCTCCCGAGTTGATGGGATTACAGGGATGTGCTACCATGACCCACTTCCATCTCAATACTCTCAGTGGCCTTAAGACCAAATTGATGCTTAGTATCTTATGTTTGTGGAGTTCAGACTTTAAGGGGATGAATATGTTTACTGACTGTTTATAAGAATAAATCATGGAACACAGAATATTAATATTCTTCAGTTAGGGAGAAAAAGCAATGTGTCTGTACTTTGTAAGTTCACAGATGTGCTTCATAACAAAAAGGCAGAACTCTTGGCTATAGTAATCCAACTAAATTTTTACCCTCAGAATCCATGGCAATTACCAAGTGTCATTCTGTAGGTGTAGAAGATATGTGGAAACAGAGGTTATCAGAATTTCATCATGCCCTTGGGCTTCTACAGTAATTCATATATTCCTTCCCAGCACATTTAGATAGTGCGTACATTATAAAATTTAAATTCTCCAACCAAAGATGAAACACATCCTTTGCCTAGAGTGAATGTATTGTTTAATCAACTGAAATCATTAAAGCCACCTACACCATAACTGATGTGAGGGTTTTGGCCAATGTCCCAGGATGCATTGGGGATGTGCCCAGCACCCTCCCACTCAGTATGCATCTGGAAACTCTCCCTTCCTTTCAGCCCAGAGAGAGTCTGTGACTGGGGAGGGGTGGGGAGTCTGTGTTGGCTGGGAAGCACAGGGATGCATATCAATCACTCTGTTTGGCGGGTAGCACAGACACACTGGCCCTTTATCCAATCACTATGCGGACTTTCCTGGGCCAGAAAGGAGAACTCTTTACAACATAGATGATGTTATTATTTTCAGTAAGAATGGACAATTGTGAAGTACTTAATAGTTTACAGAGTCTTCTAGGTCATTTGTTTTTATGTTGCCAGGAACTACATTTGATGGCTGGATTTGATCCTGGTGTTCAGACCTTCCAGCCACATCCCTCTGACTAATCAACAAAGGTGTGTAGAACTTCTCTCCTGGGTCCATGATGAAATGCACCTAGGAATTCCTCAGCCCAGAAACTCTGGCTTTTTACTGGTGATAACTTCTGATACTGTCACCCTCCAAAGCACCAAGGGTCTTTTCTTGATCCCAAAGAGATCTTTCTATTCATGAACATTTCTCTGTACATGTTTCCTCCCTACTTAGATAGTTGTTTAAATTGGACTTTTAATGTAACTAGTTGAGATTTTGGAGAATACCCCTAATATAGGCATGTCTGTTAATTATTTTATAAGGAGTTGTTATTGTTGTTGTTGCTATTGTTCATTTCCTTTTGCCCTAGCTAATCTGCCTATTGTTTGTTGTGAAAGTATTTCACTTCTACCTTTGCATTGACTAATTGTACCAAGCTACAACTCTTGGTCATAGAGGAAGCAAAGTCTTTTTTATTCACTGTGACTAGATCTCTCCAATAGAGAGACCAGGACAGGCTGTACTTGCAGCAGTTTGTTGATTTTTATTTTTTTTTTAATATTTATTTTTTAGAAGTAGTTGGACACAATATCCTTATTTTGTTTATTTATTTTTATTTTGTGGTGCTGAGGATTGAACCCAGGGCCTCGCACATGCTAGACGAGAGCTCTACCACTGAGCCACAATCCTAGCCCCGATCTTTCATTTTTAGATCACAAACCACCAGGCTTCATATGGGCTCTCTGACTGCATTTTCTGTTATTTTCAGGGATTTTATAACCTGCCTGTTTTGACCAATCCTCATATCTTAGGGCCCACCAGTTCTTAACAGCTTCGCTTTTATGCAGCTTGTATGCCTCTCGTTGAGTTTACATACTTACTATTTCTGCCTGTCCATACATATTTGTTAATGAGCTTTTTGCTTAATATCGCGGTAAGCATTTCAACTTCAAGTTTATAGTGTGTTACTTCTCTGCATGGAAAGTGATAAAATTCATGTTCATTACAACCTAGCACAATCCCTGGGTTTTTTTTTTTTTTTTTTTTTGGCTCCTACCTTCCACACTGGTCCCTGTTCCACTCACCAGCCAATGAGGAGATGACGACAATGCTTCCATTGCTCTGCTTCAGCATGGGCAAGGCAGCCACACTCAGGACCACATAACTGAGGAAGTTGACCTCCATGGTTTTGCGTACAATATGGGTATCATTATTAAAAAAAACCAAAGGAGAGTTGGTGATGTGGTTGAGAATGAGCATGTCTAGTCCACCTGTAAGAGATGGCTGTGTTGAAAGAAACCATCTAGGGTAGATACTTTCCCTTTCCCTTTCAAAAGCTCTTTGGTGACCTCTAGGGCAAAGTCCAGAGGAAGAAAGAGGAGAAGCAGCCTCACCCATGAGTTCTCCTGCTTTGGTAACAAATTGTTCTGCAAAGGTCAGGTTTTCCATGGTTCCTGCAATGTAATGTGCTGAGGCTGCTCCAAGTTCTAGGCAGCGGGACACCACCTGCAGAGAGACAGCAGAAATGGCATTGGTCTTGCCTGTAGAATTTTGGATGCAATCTGAAGTAATTGGGGCTTAAATGAGAGGTTGTTTGCAGCCCTGTTTAGAAATGGGATGTGTGTGTGTGTGTGTGTGTGTTCCTAAATAGACTCATGATTATTGTCCTCCATCTGAAATAGCTTTTGGAACATGGTAGGACTTACACTATTAAATTGTCACTGTGATGGGGATTAATTTCATTACTTATGCTCATGGGGCTTGTGAATAGGTCTTTCTGAATGCACCGTAGCTAGGGATGCTGGTTTCTCTATCGGTGGCTTTAGGTTTGTGAGTGTTAGTACATCCTTGGGCTTGTGAATCTATGAGAGGGCATTGCCTGAGAGTCTGCATGAAGTATAAGGATATGTCTTCCTGAATAGATACTGGAATTTCAGTATCTAAATATATGTCTCTGTATCTATGGTTTCATGGACACTTGTGTGTGAATAGGTGTGATTATGAGCATTTACACCTCAAGAATTTTACGGCTCATTGTACAGTGTGTGTGTGTGTGTGTGTGTGTGCGTGTGTATAGAAATGAATGCTTAAATGCATATTTTTATATTCCTATGGGTGTTTGAACCTGTATATGAGAGTACAAAATTGGAAGAAAGAGACAGAGAGGAAGAGAAAGAGAAAGAAGACATACTGGATTTTATATACATATATGAACATATAGAAGAACATATCCGGACATCTAAGAGTAATGTATGTGGGAAAAGAACCCTCACCTTCTGTAGACCTTCTTCTGACCTCGCTGTCACCGCCACATGGGCTCCCATCTTCGCCAGATGATAAGCCATTTCTCTTCCGATCCCTTTGCTGGCTCCTGTGACAATCACTTTCTTTCCTTGGAGCATCTCTGGAGAACCCCAAAAGGAGGTGAAGATCACATCTAACTTGGCAGTCACATTCTTTCTCCCTCTCAGGATATGAGCAGCCTCATTTCACATTCCAACATTAAAGGTGATGAGCCCAGATCAGTTTGTCTCTAACTCTGTAAATCACTGAAGGAATGGTTCCAGTTGTTCATAAACATGCTCTGAAGTGGGGTTTGGCATGGTTGTTCAAAACAGAGGCTGTCTGCTGTCATTCCTAAAAGCCTCCCTGTACAGAGATCATGAGGATAGGCCAGCAAGGTCATGATTCACGTAAAACACTGAAGTTCCAGACGTTACTGGGCTTATTTCATTCTGCTTTGTTGAAAGAAAATTTAAAAATCATCCAAACACATGTGTTCATAGAGATTCCTGGACTTTCTTTACTTCTACTTAGTCATCAACACCAGAGTCCTTTTTTGCTTCCCAATTAGCAGTCTGTCCATTGAGCCTTATTATCTGACTGAGTTGTGAATTTGGGTATTACCTTCTTTTTCTTTTTTGGTAGAAGGGTTGAAATTGCTTTCCATTAATGGTGCCAAGTAAAGCATGGTCTATTTGGCAAGCTTTTGGCTACATGACTGCTCGTCCTTGCATCCCTCCTGACTACAGCCTGTGGCTAGAGGACACAGAGATGTAATCCTACTTCGGGGTTCCTTCTTTTTCAACAACTTTGGGGATCAAGAACACATCTTGATCCTTAGGAATACACTAATACCCCTGTGTTTTCTAAACTATTCCTCCCAAATGAGACACATTGGTACTTACCTGGTCTGAATTCCTCGTTTGCAGAATAATAGTAGTAGGCCAAGGAGACCACCAGGATGGGGAGGAGATATTTTGTCATAAAAGCCATCAGATGAGGACCTGGCCCCCGGGAGCCCTGTAGGACACACAGAGAGAACCTACAGAGCTTTCTACAACGTCCTAGGCAGGCAGCAGCCTCTGAATTGTGACATCAGGGACGGGGGAGGCTGGAGTAGTCTCAGGCAGTGCTAGCCAATTTCCCTGTCAGAGCAGCGATTGGCTTTGGGTGGGATCCCATTCGTCCCTGGCAGCCTGCGTGGTGGATTTCATAATGGACAATGTTTACTCCATTTCATTGAGCAAGAGGAGACTTCCAGATGGCCAAGCTCATGACTATACAGGACTGGATTCCTGAGCATCCCTACCCCGAGCCCATCTTCCTCTTAACACTATTTACACCAGGGATCAATGGCCTTTCAAAAGTGGTTTGTCAAAGGCGGGGGTGGTTGGGGGGGCGGGGAGAGAGAGAGAGAGAGAGAGAGAGAGAGAGAGAGAGAGAGAGACAGAGAAATACATGCGGGGCTTCTGGAGAAATGTGAGTAATAGCAAAGAGAGCCGAATTCAAGCCAAATCTCACCCTCAGCCCCACCCCCCAGTCGGAAGCAATTAAAAATAACAGCACAAAACAGCAAAATAAGCTCAAGAAAAAATGTGCACATCTCGGGAGAAAAAATAAATAAATAAAAGCAAACAAGTCCTATAAGCCCCACACTCAAGTTCAATGAAAAAGTATTACAACATCAAAGGAAAATTGCAATCCTGCCAGAAACCCAGATGGCGGGAAACCCAAGACCAGTTCAATAATCTCAGGCAAGTGCAACAGAACATACACTTATTACTTTAACAGAGAATGAGGAAGAAATAATGAGTGCCGAGAGAGAGAGAGAGAGAGAGAGAGAGAGAGAGAGAGAGAGAAGCACTGAGGTATTAAATGTAAATGCTATAGAGGAATGAGAAGCATGGGGCGTACACTAGGAAGAATAAACCCAGGGAAGGAGGAAAAGACCTAGCACACTTGATGTGAAGCTAGTGTGGGATGCCCACATCCCAGCTAGACATCAATTTAGTAACAATAAAAGGACCAAGAGGAGGAAAATCCTAGCAATTTAGAATTTATTATCAGGGAAGAATAGAAACAACTACCTTGGCATATCTGTAGCAAGATTTCACTAAGGCATAATCCTCTAAGAAAGGATTTAAGATGTGTCATTGCTGTTTTTCGACCTAAAATCAACCAATCAAATCATGAAAAGTACTCCATCATAAAGCAAATTCTACATTCTGCAAATTACAGAAACAAATTTAAGAACGAGCATCAGTTCTTTGGTGGAGAGATGGGGGTTTGAGATGGGGGAGGTTGGAATTTATACAAAATTAGGAGACATTGAATTATGACCCTCAATACAGTATCTGGAAATATTCAGTGAATTTTCACTTCAGAATAAGAGAAAATAATTTAAGACCCAGAGGAGATGAAACAATTTGTCAACAAAGGCCCGCAGCTGTGAAGTTCACTTCCAGAAAACAATGGTGATTTGAGAACAGTGGAGAGCTAGACAGAGCTCAAGGTTCATGGAGGACAAAAATAGAAAACAGATACAATTCAAGTGAAAATTAGATTACATACTCAGAACTGCCAGATATATTTGCATAATTTCATAAAGGACTTTATGCTACCGATAAACATTACAAACCAGACTCCTTAGAGGGAATTTATTTCCCTAATCCTATACTATTAATAGTAAAATTACAGGAAACAGTGAAGAGTTGCTTTAAAGCATGAATGATGGTGAAATGATAGAAAGATGGGCAGAGTAGAGAAGCTTATTGTCTGACCAAAAAAAAAAAAAAAAAAAAAAGAAATAAAGAATTGTAAAGTCCACTACAGAAAACATAAATTTAAAGAAAGCAAAAATAATGAGTGAGAACATAAAGGAAATGCACTAATGATGGCTGATTGTTGGCTCAAGTAATTGTAACCCAATATTGCGCAGCCTCAAAAGGTCCAGAAACAAAGAGATTAATAATTAGATTACCTAGCAGTCATCATGCTATGAAAATCGGAAAAGCATCCAATAAATTGATTTTTCATGGAACCAGATGAAATAATCGTTGTATGATATACATTGATGAGAAACAAGTACACAGTAATGGTCATGTTTTAGTAAGCTTTTTCACTGCTTGGACTACAGGACCTGACAAGAACAATTTTAGAGGAGGAAAATTTTAATTGGGGGCTCACAATTTCAGAGGTCTCAGTTCATAGATGGTTGGCTCCATTCCTCGGAGCTGAAGGTGAAGCAGAACCTCATGGCTGAGGAGTGTGGCAGAAGGAAGTGGTTTACATGATGATTAGGAAGGAGAGAGAGAGAGAGAGAGAGAGAGAGAGAGAGACTCCACTTGCCAGATACAAAATATGTACCCCAAAGTCATGCTCCCAATGCCCACCTCCTCCAGCCATACCTACCTACCTTCAGTTACTACTCAGTTAATGCCCATCAGGGGATGAATTCACTGATTGGGTTAAAGGTCTCATAACCCAATCATTTAACCTCTGAACATTTTTGCATTGTCTCACACCTGAGCTTTTGGAGGACACCTAATATCTAATATCTAAACCATAACAGGTAATGATATATGAAGTCTTAATGGTCCTCAAACATTTTGGTCACAGGACCCCCTAATGCCCTTAAAAATTATCCAGGACCTCAAAGAACTTTTGCATGTATGTTTTACCTATTGATACTGATACTAATAGATTAGAAATTAAGACTGAGGATATATATATATATATATTTTTAACTTAAGAATACAAAAGCAAACCTTCCATTAACAGTCAGAGTATGACATTATTACACCTTCTGTAGCCTCTAGAAGCCTCTAGTCTTAGTAAGATTATAAAAATAATTTTGATCTTTCAAACTCCCATTATTGGGTTCTGCACATTGACTACATTATATAATATATATCAATCTTCTGCATGTGCACATTTACACAGCTGGTTTTCTCATTAGCTTGTAAGCTACTGGAGGACATGAATTATGTCTTTTTCATCTTTGCTTCTCTCCAGTCCCTCAAGTCTTGTTCCAAAATAGGCATTCAATCAACTTCTTCTTGTTTTGGTTTAGTTTCTGAGATGCTATAGCAATAAGAAAATTGACATCTTCCTGGAGCCTGGTTTAATCCAGGGAAATCCCTGGGATTCAGCATTCTGGTCAGAATGGATCAAACTCACCCCCTAAGTCTTCTTCCTGGGGTTTGCACCATATTAAAACCAAACAACAATAAAAATAAAGACAAAAGAAAATCTGGATGTTTCATCTACATTTTTTTTTTTTTTAGTCACATTTTCCTGATTGACAAAGTTCCTTTTCCTGTCACAGCAAGGAAACTAGCCATGGACTCAGCTCCTCCTCGATGCCCCTCCTTTGTCATGCACTGAGCACTTACATCCTACAGCAGGCTTCCAGAGTGTGTCTTAAAGCCATAAGTTTGCAAATACCCATGCAGAGTGAATTCTTCCTGTGAATGTCAGAGCCTGGCCAGGAACTCTCTGGATTTGATTATTTCTATCTGAATAAATGGGGTCAAGAACAAACAAGAAGGTGAGAAGAGCGTGGGGCGGGGGGTGAAGGAACTCAGAGGGATGGGCCAGATCCAGGAGGCCAGATAGGAGATAGAAGAATGTGAGGAGGAGCAGCTGGGAGGTGGATTTCCATGCATTTGGCATAACATGTAGATTATGAAAGGAACACCTGTCATTTCTGAGGCAGCAGCTCTATTGCTTTCCATGACTATTTAGTAGCTCTGTTTAGAAAGTGGCCTTTTACTTTTGAAAAATCAATCCTGTTGGAGGCACAGGGGGTGACCGTGGGGCAAAAAAGTGGGTATTCAGAAGTTCTGCCTTCCTCTGGGAGAATGACACCAACTCCTTGAAACAGGAAAGGATCCTAGCGTTGTGTTTAAATGCATAGAATTCTCCCTCTTTTTGTCATCCCATCCCCACCCCCACTCTGGTTTTCCTCAGGTCTGGTTTTAGGAACTCATAAATCTGTGCCAAAATCTGTTCCCCATGTCAGGAGAAAAAAAAAATCATTTTATATAATTTTATCCAATAACAGACTTTCTCCTTCTCCCCTTCCTCCTGTCTTCCCCCTTCCTGTATATCTCATGAAGGGAGAAGTTCTTATTTGGCAACCCTTCTCCTCAACCCTATTCCCAATGGACAGATTTACTCCTATTTTCCACTGATTGGTTTCTCAGGTCTGGGAAAATTGGATAAAATGCCCCATGTGCACTATCCTGTCCCTGCTGGATGTGTGGCCTGTATGTCGTAGGGGCACTGGTGTGTCAGATACCTAGAATCTATTTGCCTGGGAGAGCCACTGGCATCTTGGGAAAGGAAGGACCCTCCTGTGCCTATGGGCTTAGTCTGATCCCTGTTCCTAGTGTGGTGGGGTCTGAGATTATGTTAAATTGGTTGCCCTTGCAGTTTTTCAGGCTTGGACCTGGCTCCCAAGGACTTGCACATGAGCATAGAGGAGAGAGGAACCACATAGTAACTGAAAAAAGGACTCCTTGGCACGATATGGGGTGTCCAGTTAAATCTGAATTTCAGATAAATGATGAATACTTTCAAAGAATATTTATCTCTATACCTATCTATCTCAACTATTGAAAGAGACATACAAAAATCTTCATCGTTATTTGTCTGAAATTCAGATGCATTGTTTTACTTGGCAACCTTAGAAGTGACATTGGGCTTTACCTAAGAAACTCTGCCTTAGGTGTGGATGAAATATCCTGGAGCATGGCTACTAATAGTCATCTCTCCCACCTTCATTACAGCAGACATAGACAGCCCCCCAAAGGGCCTTAATTTGGAAAAGAAGAAAAGGGTCCAGAGCCCATGGCAACTCAGTGGAATATTCACCTACTAGCATCTGTTTAGTTGGGTATTTACCATGGGTCAGGTACTATGAATGAAGAAGCAAGTTAAATTCTCTCCAGATTCTAGCAGACAATGGGAAGTAAACATGTAGCGTGTTCCCAGGGCATGGGTGGAACTCTAGGGTGGGGGGTGTAAAACAGGAAATAATCATTCTCTGTGTGGGACAGGCCAG